TTATTATTATTATTATTATTATGTTGGGGGAAGGAGAACTGAAATATAGATTTAATTTATTAATTACCTATTGCCAATGAAACCTTTAGATAACTTTTGATGGTTAAGTCAATAAGATAATTATAATTAACTCTATCTTAGTTTTGGGGAGACTCGTGCCTGCACTAAATTTATATTTATGCAATATTTATCTAGAAGACGTCATAATTACTTGGATTTTATATTTTCAATTTACAAAACATGTTAATTAACATCTATTGGCACTAATTAAGATGATTATATTTATAAAAATGGAAATTTGCAATTAATAGTCTGATCTTTCTTGAATTTGGTGAGGCTAGTGCATTAAATGTAAAAAATTTTCTTACAATAATATATAACTATTCTTAATTGTACTTGTAAGTTATAAGCATCTGTTAACTAGAATTTTTATTTTTATTATTATTAAAAAAAGTGAATTTAAATTTGGCTTTTTGAGCAAGGAACACGTGCACTTATTTTCGAATTAATCACTCGATCGATGCTATATTTAATTATTTTTTAAGATTAAACAATAGTACTGTAATTGTCTTTAAATTAATTTTCTCTTTCATTATGGTAAAAAAAAAAAACTATTTAGTATACCAATAATATTCTGTGTAATATAATAATAAAACGCCATAGTGCTATCGCTTCTTAATTTATATTTTCCAAATGCTACAGTCACATATATGGTAAGCAAGATATAAAAGTATTAGAGTAGAGATGATTTTTGCTTTGCGTGTATGTATTAGCAACTAATCCACCATAATATTATGCTTGTAATGTCATATTGATTATTGGGTCCCATTTTCTTGCATTATATGTTGCCTGTTTCCTTTTGTTAATTTCTTGTGTCAATAATTGAGTAACTGATGAGTTGATAGCATTATCTTCCAACTCTCCTAACCCTAGAGGTTTCACTTAACAAATTATTTAATTTCTACTATTATTAAAAGATTATCCTCCCATTTGATTGAACCACTTTGTGGGGTCGTCTCCAGCCATAAAAACTTCAGAAAAACAAATTTCATAGAAATCATGTTTGATTTAGCTTGTAGAAATTTGAAGATTAGAAATTCAAAGTCAAAACTTTATGCCCAATTCTATTTATGATGCATTTTGATAATTCTATTCATTTCTTCTTACATAATCCATTTTATATATTCAAAATAGGAGTTACTTAGGCTAATTATTAAATGCTTTGCTTGTTAATCATCAATAATAATCTATCTTCTATATTAATTTACAAAGGAAGTGATTAAGGGTTATAAGAATATCAATTCAATTGGCAAGATTATCAAAATAAATAAATAAATAAATAAAATAAAGCAATGATGATACATACAAAACCATGCATATAAACGTCCTTTTGATTTTTCCTAATTAGGTGTGGGGTCCTATTTTTGAATTGATTTTTGTTATATATAAATATTATTATGTTACATAATTATTCTTTTTTTACTTTCATTTTTTATCGACATAATCAGTGTGTCAAAATTTAGTATATAAAAAAATATGAAAATGAAAAAATACTAAAAAATCCTCTATATATATTATGAGTCATTTTTGTATGTAAAACGACTCGCAATCAATCAATGAAAACCTTGGATATAAAAGGGAAATAAAAAAGGAAAAGCAAGCATTTTACACTCGTGGGACAATACAAGCCATGTTCATGACAGATTAGAGTAACATCTAACAACTCAACAAGGCAGCCATATGGTCCCAGAAATTGTAATAATTCATGAATGATGAGGAATTAATTATACAATATCTTAGGCAGCGAAATTTCAATACAATTTATTACGGTAGGTCACAGCCTAACTACATTGGTCACTACTTACTTCATCTTCATAAATGGCTTGGCCTAATAAAATGACCTACATCTAACTAGTTTAATTTCAACATTCTGTGTACACCACTAACATCGATCCAATTCATATAAGTTTATTCCCATTTTTTAAATTACATTGCTTTGAAGGCAAGATTTGTCAACCCACGAATCGTCTTAGTGGTTACCCCGTTTTGCCCACGTGTCCGCACCGTTTTGCCAATTAATTAGGCATTATGACCATAAATCTTAATAATCCAGGGGCAATTTTGTTCATCTCTATTAGACGGCAATTTGGAGATTCCAAATTCAAATGGTAAGAAGGGAGGTGACAAAATTTATAAGATTATTGAACATGATTATCTCTTATTTGTTAAAAATTTATAACATCTACAAATTATAATTTTTAATGCTAAAAAGTAAAAAGAATATTAAAAATAAATATTATATACAACAACAATAAGAGTTGTTATTGTTCACAAAAGAAAAGTAACCATAATTTTGACAGGACTGAAAAAATGTAAATATTCAATTGGAAATAATGGAGGGGCAATTTGGGGAAGTTGAAAGAACCAAGGATGGAAGAAAAAGAAAATGTGAATTGTGGAACTGAAGCAAAGCAATATGTGCAGTGATCACCTGATCTAATAAAATAGTGGAATAATTAGGTTGTACGATAAGAGGGTCAATGGGATGCATGTTAGGGGCTGTTTGTAATTTCAACCTCAAGTGTAGCCAACGGCCACTGAAATCCAAAACGCCCCAAAAAGCAAAGCTGACCTACATGGCCCAACTTATTATCCCCATCGTCGCTATCTGCCGCTGTTGATGAATTTTCCATTACTATCCGTAATATAATAATAATACTATTTTTTTTTTCTTTTTCATTTACAGGTATTATATTCCATCTATCTTCTCCCACATTTTTTATATTTATTTTCTTGTTATGCGTATGTCTGTATATATATATATATATATATATGTATGTATAATAATAAAAACCCAAGTAACCACTTGGGTTCTTTTTTCACCAGCAAGGTTCTTTTTTCACCGGCAAAAGCGAAAAATAACTGAAGATTCCATACAGATTAAACAATATATATATATATATATAAATAAATAAAAGTTTTTGTTTGAAATTGCTTTTTTTGGGTTGAGATTGACAGGCAGATCCCCACCAAAAATAAAATAAATAAATTCACCATACACCTATCTTACATAAAACCCCTTGATAGTATTCACCCTTCTCTTGTTATACTATTCTTTTTTCAGCTGTAATTGCTAAGAGAGAGTCCTGTGCTGGGGGACTCAACTATGGCAGAAAGCTCCGCCGATGCCTCGGCAGCGCCTGGAATCCATGAAGGCAGTGAAATTGGCATGGTTGGCTCAAATTCCGGTGAAGAAGATAAGGGTAGGGTTGATGAAGGTGACCGGAGTTTTGGAGGAAATCGATGGCCTAGGCAAGAGACTCTGGCTTTATTGAAGATACGTTCCGACATGGATGCTGTTTTTAGAGACTCAAGTCTCAAGGGTCCATTATGGGAAGAGGTTTCCCGGTGAGTAAAAATATCTATTTTAGTTTTGTTTTTGCTTCACGGGATTGAGAATTTAAGCTATCTAGGTCAGGTGATCATGCATGCAGATCACCTGATTTAGGATTTTCAACTGAATCCTGGTTTCTCTTACAAGTTTGTTAGATGCCATTCATAGTTGACAAGTAATTCAATATCAGTTTTCTTGGATTCTGGGAAAGAGGAATTGGCTTTCAGTTTTCTGTTTTCATTGAATTCAGTGTTTACAAGGGAATTGAATTCAGCTTTTCTCGTCAAGGCCTTTTCTCAAGCATTTAAGTTTTAAAAGCTGCAAAGAGTAATCCCAGCTGCTGAAAGTTGTGGTTTCTAGAGATGGTTTCTTTTGGCTTTTGTCCATTTTAGTAAAATTCCATAAAAGAAACGTTATCAGCCTAATAAATGCCTGCAGATACTTCCAACATGGGTTGTGAGTTTCCCATGTGGCCTTGGTTGGTTAGGTTTTCTTTTTTTTTCCCTCTTTTCTGTCTTACTTTCTATGTTCTTCTTGTTCTTTTGATGTTTATTAATGTCGCAAAGTGCTTTTAAACTTTATTCTTTTGCCGAATTTGAAATAGAGTGTAAACAGAAATAGGGCTGTTTTGCAACTGTTTTTCTCAGGAAACTGGCTGAGCTTGGTTATCATCGAAGTGCCAAGAAATGCAAGGAGAAATTCGAGAATGTCTTCAAGTACCACAAGAGAACCAAAGATGGCCGAACTGGCAAGACTGATGGCAAGACTTATAGGTTCTTTGATCAATTAGAGGCCCTTGAGAATCTTCACTCACTCCAATCACAATCACCTCCAAAACCTCAAACTCCGACCCCAACATCGGCGGCAATGCCTTGGACTAATCCTCCTACTGCCTCCAATATCCATGTCCCATCAACAACAATGAACCCTACCAATGTACCTCAAACCAATGCCACACCTTCGATAAACCCTACCATTTCCACACAAGCAGTTCCTATACATTCTATAGGTCCTTATTCCAATAGTATTCCATCTTCTTTCCACAACATTTCATCAACTCTTTTCTCCACTTCTACCTCTTCCTCAACCGCATCTGATGACGATTCAGATCAAGGAAGCAGTAAGAAGAAAAGGAAATGGAAGGAGTTTTTCAGGAGGCTGACAAAGGAGGTGATTGAGAAACAAGAGGAGTTGCAAAACAAGTTCTTGCGAACAATCGAGAAGTGCGAACAGGAAAGAACGGCACGCGAAGAAGCTTGGAGAATTCAAGAAATGGCACGGGTCAACAGAGAACATGAGATTTTAATTCAAGAACGATCCACGGCAGCTGCAAAAGATGCTGCAGTAATTGCATTCTTGCAAAAGATATCGGGACAGCAACCGAACACGGTGCAAGTGCAACCACAAGAAAATCCTCAAACAACACCGCCTCCGCCAACAGCACCCTTATCGCTGCCACCTCCTTTGCATCAGCCGCAACCGCAGCCACCAACCCCAGCCTTGAATTTTGATACCTCGAGAATGACTAATGCAGCGAATAACGTGGTTTTATCAAGTCCTTCACGATGGCCAAAACCTGAAGTTCAAGCTCTTATAGGGCTTAGAACTAATCTTGACGTGAAGTACCAAGAAAATGGGCCTAAGGCTCCTCTATGGGAGGAGATCTCAGCCGGGATGAGAAAGCTTGGATATAGTCGGAGCGCAAAGAGATGCAAAGAGAAATGGGAAAATATTAACAAGTACTTCAAGAAAGTCAAAGAAAGCAACAAGAAAAGGGCTGAAGATTCCAAGACATGCCCATACTTTCACCAGCTGGATGCTATTTACAAAGAGAAAATCAGCAAAAACGAGAATTCAGTTGGTTCTTCCGGTTATGGGGTTAAGCCTGAGAGCAAGATGGTGCCACTGATGGTACAGCCAGAGCAGCAATGGCCTCCACAACAACAAGAAATTAGCCAGCAGGCAGAGGCGATGATGGAGGAAGCTGAGAGGGATCAGATTCAAGAAGATGAAGAAGATATTGGAGAAAGTGAAGAAGAGGAATATGAAAGGAATGCTTTTGAGCTAGTAGCAAACAAAACTGCTCCCATTGGCACTGCCGAGTGAGACAACAAAGGGAAGCTTCTAATCAAAGCTGACATCAAGTGAGGCATGGAAAAGGCCCTTTTGCTATAGTATTTACCATGGCGAAAAAAAAAATTGTAAGGGCAGTAAAAAGGTTTATCATAAAAAACTTAAACTTTGTTTTCGGGTGTGAAGATCCAGTTGGTTTTGAAGAGGGAAGGAGTCAGATTCTCTGATGATTCAGCAGGAAATAGTGGTGCCGAATTGGATTAACAACCATGCACATGGACTGTAGTTTTATAGTGGGGTTAAATGTTTCTTTTTCTTTATAATTTATTATTTATTTGCTAAATAAATATTAGGTGTGGAAAGGGTATACGGAGTTAGGGTGGGGAAATGTTTGCACAGTATAAAATAAAGCCAACTAGTTCTTTGTATCCTTCTTTCTGTTCATAGTGGAATAGATTTTTTCTACATAACAATTTATTTTATTAAAAAGAAAAAAAAAGTTAGTGCTATATCTTTCTTTCTGTTATAATTGCTGTAAATGTGTAAATGGAAGACATGGCTTTTAGTGTTTGTTGTCGAGTGAATACAGAATAATTGCCAGATTTCACCACTAGGAATATAAGGAAAAAGTGAAAAACATAATTTGCAATGTGTTTTTAACATGAAAGCTAGTATTAGTTTTGGGTGTGTGATACTTCACCCTAGCTAGGTTGCCCTTTCTTTGTGTGTTTGCAAATTAGCTTCCAATCCTCCAAATGCAGCAGGCCACTTGAAAAGAGTAAATTGCGTGACCCACGTGAGGGGGGTGAAACTACTCGAGTTTTATGGAGAAATTTCATTCTGACTCACTTTTTGAAAAGAGATTATGCAATTTTATCATTGAACCAAATATTTATTTAAGTATCAAAATTATTAATCTTATTTCTTTATTTAATTCTAATTCTTGCTTTCAATTTTACTTGTGTTTCAAAATTATAATCTTGGTCACTCGAACCTAATTCACCACAATATAATAGACTATTTTCAAAGAAATTAGTTGTAGAAAATTTTGTCAGATAAAATTAAGTTGATGAAAATTGTGTCAGCAATTTGTCCGAAATATGCAAAAATCAATTTTGTCTAAATTTCGATGGAAATTCATTGAAACATTTTGACAGATTTTCTCCACAGATTTTCTCCACAGAAATATCTAAATTATTCCACTTGTATTACTCCTTGCACTTAAAAAAATAATCTTAGACTTACATAGTTAGTAGATTTTCCATTGCTTCCCTAAAATTATCACTTGTTGATTTTTTCTATGTATTTTAAAATATAAATAAAAAATGTAATTTGAAGGAAAAAAACAATGTTAAGTGTTTGTCTAGCTAGCTATTGGTTCTATTAATTAGCATTATAGGTTGGTAATTAATTAAAAAAAGAGCATTCGAAATAATAAATAAAGGTCATAAACAAGATGGAAATTGTTAAAAGCAGTTTTCAGACTTACCCACCTCATCAATAGAAGAGGGAAAAATCAAGAAAACCAAAGACACATGAGGGAGGCGTTCCGTCCGGTTAGAGGGTGTAGAGAATTGAATTAGCTATAGGCTTTCAAAGAGGGGGCCCTTTCCACGGCATGGCTAAACCTAACCTTGCGCCTAATTAGGGTCCTACTGGAGGAATCTTCTAAGTGATCTTCAATAATAATGTATACGATCACTAATGCAACCCTTTGTGTTGACTTTCCACATAGCCATTATATTGATTTCTACTACTATATATATTTCCATTAAAATCAATTGTCTCATCATTTGATCGGAAAGTTGAAACATTTTGTTGTGCTAGTAAAGGTTATCTTTCTGAATAGTCCATTTCCTCTTGACCTGAATGTCTCCGCAGCAAGTGTGCTGCATGCTTCATTTGCTTTGCCCATTTTGTTGGCGGTCCAAAAAATTGATTGCATCCCACAATATTATATTAGAAGGATGATTCAGGCCCACAATTTTTGAGTGGCCATGCTCTATTTTGAATAGTAATAGATATTCTGCTAATATACAGTTTTGTCAGCAGTAAAAGAAATAAAAAGCTCCTGCTATTGATATGGCTATCCGTAAACAAGGCACACCATTTTCTATCTTTGGAGCTTCAAACTTGAACTCACCCCACCCAGTGACAACTGAGGAATTCTAATGTCACGGGTCATTTTACTGACATGATTTCAGACCCATTCATTGAATTTGCATTTAATTAATGCCTTAATCACAAAGTTGGCTACCGCATCATGTTTTACAAAAGCTTTATCAGATAGACAACTAAAGCTATATATTTTTGTTTTATCTTATCCGTAGTTGTCACACTAATTAAATCATCATATGATAATATTTTCGTGGAAGTGATCCATTGAAAGAGACTTATCAGGTTATTCATACTTTCTAATAAGGTCGACTCAATAGTCTTGAAAGTTTAAAGTTAAATATTCAAATGAAATCCTTGTTATTGAAATTAAAAAAAAATTATTAGAATTTTTAATTAAATTTATAATTTAATAAATCAATTATCACATAAAATAAAAATAATATAATAATATAATATAAATTTTAAATTAAAGCAAAAAAGTCTGCAAAGATTAAAATAATAATACCTACTTATTAAATGCTTATTGTGAATAATAAATGAGGCTTCCCACTTTATGAACATAATAACATAATAGACTTCCTAAGTATTTTTTGGATGAAAATTAAAAGTAAAAGAAGATAGAGCAAATGAGGAAGAAGAATTCAAACATGGATATTATAGATTGAATAAAAAATAATTTATTTTATATAAAGGAAAAAAATTGTTACAGATCATTAAATACATATTACCCTAAATTGATTGCAAATAGAAGAACTAGATGAGAAAAAAAGTTATTAGAGATCATTAAATATATATGACGAGTACTTGATTGAAAATAGAAAAAATAGTTGAGAATTAATTGTATTGTAAAAATGGAATAGTGATAAAAAAATTTAATTTTATCAAGCACATAATTCAAAAAATAAGAAAATATATTTTTTTATTAATTATTTTAACTTTTACATGAGAAATAAATTAAATACTTGAAAATAAATAAAGATGTGAAAGGGAGGGAAATAAATATTTAATAGGCTTAAGAGAGAGATAACTATTTTAATAATTATCTTAATTTATATATTTTTTAATATAATTAATTATGTTATTGTTATAAAATTAAAAAGCTTAATAAAATTTGAGGCTAAAGTCACTGCTTTCATCACTTTACCCTTGAGCCGACACTGCTTTCTCATCATTCAAACATATGCAAAAGCTACGCGCATTCATATTTCTTAGGTGGCACTAACGTCTACGGCATCAAAGGTTTTCCAAGCATTGAGAATTAATTGAATTTGTTTGAAATCAAATTGGGTGGCGGTTCAATTAATTATAATTAATAATGACTCATCAATTATGGTCTCAAATTAAAATATTTAAATTTTTTTTAAGTACCTACTTTCAACTTACACTATAATAAATTTGATGCATGATTGCGTATTTTTACCATGTGCAATTAAATATATTTTTAGTAAAACTTTTTATTTATATATTTTTTAACAATAACAATTTTGTAAATTTGATATCATTATACAAATTTTTACCAGCAAAATGAATAAAATATAATTATAAAAATTACACATTTAGTATAAATTATACTTTCGACATTTCTACTAAATGTAAAAAAAATACAACAAAAAATTTAAATAGTTACACTTTTAAGATTTCACCCTGTAAAAAAATATTTTACCTAAAGAATTGTAAATAAGTCCACGTTTTCTGTACTAGTGCAATTTCCCGTGAATAAGAGATGTACGTGACACTTTTCAAAAAAAAAAAGTACTTGTCATAAAATGATAGAAGACGAATAAAATTAAGTTAAAATTACATACCTTTTTGTTTTGAAAAAGAAAAATTATATATTTATCATTTTCATAAGAAAAAAAAAAGTAAAAAAAAAGTATTGGGGGTAGACAATTTATTTTGTTAAATGAGTTTTCGTGATCTGAAAGAGATCTTTGATTAGGAATTTTTTTTATAATTAAAAAAAGAGTTTCAATTTTACTTTTATGATAAAATATCATACATCAATTAATGAATCAAATACTCGAATATACTTTTGATTGAGAATTTAATGATCTGTACAATGAAAATTGTACTACATGATCGTAACTGTTGTCGAGAAGATAAAGAGAAGCGGGAACAAATTGGCGCACTTGAGCACTTAGTTTGACAATAAGTATATTTACATTTCTGTGTGTATTTAGTGATCTCTTCGCCGTGCCCCTTGCTTGCTGGGGTCTGTTAATATGCGTATCTGACAAGGTCTTTTTGCATCCCTTGTCGAAACTGTACAGTTTATTTTCAGTGAGATGAAGCCTTCCAAAAAAATAAAAAATTTAATGTTCGAGTTGATTGTTTATTTCATCTGATTTATGCTATCGAATTGATTAAACTAATAGATAAAAAGTGCATTCGCACGTTTTGGGGCATTTGATATTTTCTAATTGAATCACGTTAGGGGATTTAATGAGATTAATAAATTTATTTAACCAACTGTATTTGTGCCATTAACGTTGAAGTCTGTGGTAAGCAATCCTGTATTTTTGGGGCATGTATTTTATTCAAGATTGGACCACTTATGAGAGGGTCCTTTTCGAAACTCAGTGCGCCACATTTTTTGTTCTGGACAGAGTAGAATGGTACTCAAGTACCAATACGCTAATAACCAAGTTTTCTTTTTTTTGAATAGTACGAAATTTCATTGCAGTGGAGTAAGCACACAGCAGGCAAAAGGTGGTTAGCTCATCATTCATGATATCACAACTGCAACGTAGCCCCTTTAGGCTACCTCAAACTCCCCCTTAGGCTATACTTCACATTCACATCGAATCAATTTAATAGAACCTTGTAACAGAACAATCTGCTTCCGCACCACAACAGAGATACCGCATGGATTTGCATCCCAAACTCAACCCACAATCTTAATCCAAATATCGGCGGCAGCAAAGATAACTAGATACACTATCACCACACTGGGAAGATCTCATACAGAGCTTGTAATTAATTATACAGCTGCAGTAGTTCCTAGACCCGCTCAACCCCTGCTCAAGCGGTTAGTCGATCTGGGTGTGTGCACCACCGACCAGTTCTACACTTTGTTCTTCAAGCTACTAATATGGTTCAGAATTCTTCTCGTCCTCCATGAGGCAAGTGAAGGATTATTTGTCCATTGAATGGCATTGGTTGAGTCTGACTCGACCATCAATCCATGTGAATTACACCACCTCAAGGCTGCGAATAACGTAAAGGTTTCTTTGATTGCCATTAGCTCAATTGTGTTCGAGTCTTTTATTCTCATTGTTGGTGCATTTTTAAAATAAAAGTTATGTTTTTTTATATGAAATGTTGTAAATGAAAAATTATGTTTTTTCATACG